GCATCAAGAAACTCTGAGGCATAGTGTTTCGACCACCAGTCGAAGAAGTCTTGGGAGCAAAAATAAGAAGGTTCAAAGTGGACAGGTGTAAGAAAATACTTATGGGCGTGGCGCACCAATTGTGTCGCACAGTCAAGGGGAGATAGCACCGCTAAAGGAAGAATGATATGTGATTTCTTGTCATATAGGCACTTGGGTAGAGTCTATATCAACCCAAATTGCCTGGACACCAAGTTTGGTTGATAGGCTAGTAAGCTGGAGTGACCTCTAACAAGGTTTAACTTATGAAATAGTAGTCGAGGAATGAGGAACCATTCCCAAATCAGCTTCGACTCCTCTTCTTGTTTCTTTAAGGGAGCAGGGAAGGGTCTGGTAAACCACTCTGGGCCACATCTTCGTTATGCGAAAGGAGCCATCTTCGAGTTAAACGCATACCGTTTTGCGAACATGTGAATGAAGCTGGATAAGTTGGATCGAAGAGTATGACCTTCTTCGCTAGGAGTAAGTTGGGCTAAGCGAGGCCATTTGACTCTTCTCTCAGCGACTGAAGACGAACCTTCATCGACTTCGCCTCTGTTGGGAAGATTATGTTCAAAAGTGGCATTAAGCCACAGCTGGAGGAGCCAAAAGGGGCCTGACAGCAGCAAGTTACCATGACTTTCAGGGTCTTTCAATTTGCTAGCACCTTCGCCCAGGGCCTCATAAAGACTGGCCAGAATCATCTCACTTAGGCAAATGCCTCTCTTCAGGTGCAGTTGGTTGGCCAGAACCAGATATTTTCGTGCCACCTGCAAAGACTTTGTACAAAATACACAACGAGATAACCACATGGCCAGAAAGGCTATATGTTCCTCGTCATCAACTGAGGCGTTGGTTTTGTTATGATAATGTTGAACAAAAGCTGTGTAGGTATGTTTGGTATTGGCGAAACCGATGGTGTCGTGGCTATCAATCTCAGGGTCGTAAATAAGGCCGTAGGGTTTTAGGCCTACGATGGCGGCTACATCAAGTAATGTGGGTGTCATCATCCCACAAGGGAGGTGGAAAGTATTGTGAGTTCTATCCCAGAAAAATAAGGAAGAAGCCAGCATAAGGGGGCAGTAAGAAGGGCCTACCTTCGACATCATTATCAGATCATAAATCCCAGTGTCCTTCCAATCTTGGGCTTTCACTTTCTCTATTTTTGTCAGCCAATTGAGATAAAGTTCAGAATCTTTAAAGTAGGGGGTATCCCTAAATAATCTGGCCCCATCATGAAGATACCTAAGATTTACGTCGAAGAGGTTTAGGCTATCAGGGCCATCAGCGGGGATTTTGCTAGAATCTTTTTTCCCTAAGGGTTTAGTGACTCTATAAGAGGGGAAGAAGTCTTTAATGGCGGAATAGTCAAGACCTGAAGGGGGTAAAGGGCCAGACATGGCTAAAAGTTTACCTGCAACAGTAAAGGGAATGATTACCTGTGATTCGTAAATGTGGCGTTTCTCTTCTAACAAGGGTTCACAAATGAACTGTTGGTTCTTCACTACCTGGGGACCGCCCAAGCTGGCAAAGGGAGGAAGAGCTGATGCAGAGGTTTGTCCTTTGAGTTGCATTTTCTTCTTTTGATGATCAACCATTTTTAAAGGAAGTAAAAAGTTTGTTGGTTGGGAAGTAGAAGATTAGAGGAAGAAAAAAGCAAGGATGTTGTTAAGAGTCAAAGAAGTTGGAAAAATGAAAATATCAGGGGAGAATTACTTATATAGTGTATGGAAGATTGAAAGTTTTTCATCATTGAGGGGCTAGAGTTAGTGGGCCACATGTGCACTTGGATGTAGGATGGCAGATGTAGCAGTTGCAATTCACGTCCCCGAGGTTGAAAAGGTGATGATAGCCCACGATTTTGGTGGTTCCCGAGAAAATTGCCATGATGAAAGTGACGTCAGAAACGTGCATCAAGGTGGAGGAACAGTAACTTGCATGTTCCTCTCTATTTTTTCTTGTTTCTCTTTTTTCCCTTTCACCTTCCTAGACTTGCATTGGTTGAAGGGATATCAGACGACATGTATGAGGACAAGCGGCGTCGAAGGTCAGACGCTGTCAAAAAATGTGTTTTTCCACATTTGAAGTCGAAAAGACATTTTTGGGGGGGAATTTGTTAGCTCCTAATTTCGACGCCCTGTTTTAAAAGAAAGGAATTCAAGATAAAAGGCCAAGGGTAAGTTGAGAATGAAAGATTGGTCGAAAGATGTAAAGCAGCCAAAAGAAGAAGTCGAAGAACTCACCCAGAAGCTAGGAGTTCGACCGCTTGCTGTTGTGGATGGTTCGTCGAAGGATTTGAAATTCAAAAATTGGAGGGAACGATTTTGCTTGCTAAAGACTTAAGAAGACACGTGGCACCTTATGAGCAGTAGATCCATGCATTTGTGACAAGTGGCGAGAGGAGGTGATGTTGGAGGTTATTAGAAGTTATTTTTTACTACTATAAATAGGATGTCTTAGACATAGCCAAAGTGTGTTGTAATTTACTATTGTACAAATTACTCTTAGAATTACTCCAAGTATCCGAGCATAGAGAAAGCGAGTATTATAGAGAATGTACGTGATGTAAACACACCATCTTTTACCTTAATGAAATTTACTTTATTTTGCTTTAAACTTTACAAAGTCTTTTATTTTCTTTGCACCTTTCTTCATTACTTTCTTTCCCTTCTTTTTCTATGTAATTCCTTTCTCTTCGTCCTTAACCCAATTTCTCCTCTCTAAACAAACTTCTTTATTTCTTTTATTAAAAGCTTTATTTTATCTTTTAAGTTATTTCGTAGTCGAATAGATGTTTCTTTAAGATTCTTTCACCCCAATACTGTTCGAGTGTGGAACTTGGATAGATTTTCAAAACAAGAGCCTTTAGCACATGTCTTAGGATCAATCTGATCGATCCTGTGAGTCACCAAAGTTAAATTTGGAAGATCAGCGGTTGTTTTCCGATTTTCAAGGGAAACACGTCCGTGGAGTAGTTTGAAATATATTGGCTTTCTATTGTTACCCGTGGGGGTTAGTTGGCATACTCGTTGATTTTATCCGAGTTGGAGCCCTCCCCATGATAATGTATGAGACCATGTTTTCATTCTCATGGATTTTTAGTCGGGCATTTCCGAAAAACAACAAAACTTGTTCTCTTGTTTTAAATTATTATTGCTCTATGTTATATATCATTATGCTATGTTTATGCTTCTTTCTCGCTCTCTATCTCTTCATTTTTATGCTTTATGTTGTCATATCATATTATTTGTTTATGTTTTCACTATTTTTTCTTTGTCCAATTGGACCATTTGTTTATGTTTATGTTCCTTTTCTTTTGTCCATTTGGACCAAAAACATTAATAAAAACTTAAACCCCTAAAAACTTATTCTCTTAATGGTGGACTATGGTTATTATCGTTTGCATTGGACATAGAGATTTGGACCTAGAACTAGGATCTTAACCTATGCTTGGAGGTTTGTGATGGTAACTTTGGATGTTTGGGTACTTAAAGTTCTCTTTTGAAGACCTATCTTGATCAAGACCTAATCTAAAAGAATGGATGCTTATGTTAGGAAGCTCGCTTGTGTGGTTAGATTGTTCTTATCCTTAGCTTTTATCTTTATGCAATAGGATAGTCCCTTCTTCTCCACCCCTTCTTTAATTTTCAAAATCTTCTCCCTTTTTCAAAACCTTTTTGTTTTCAGAAATCAAACCGCTTTCATAATAAAACCTTAACTTTGGTTAAATAATTTTCAAACTTTGTTTTCTTCAATAAATGTCAATCAATGTTAATCATACCTTGACCAATTTCAAAAAGACATAAAAAATACAAAAACTCATCCAAACATTTTGTGCTTTTGTGCACTTTTTCTTTTAAAATATTTTTTTTATAAGTCTAGACTTGACTCATCTTTTTAAGTGGAACTATTCGCTTGGAAATGACGACTTGTCTTTAGATTGAAATCAATCATAACAAACCTTTTTTTTTTTGTTATTTGTACCACGAACTATGGAGTTTTAATCTTATATTGCACTTTATGGGTACGTAGGCATGAGGCGATAAGTCTTTCCAATCACAAAAATCTTTAAAAATATTTCTCTTCTCATCTTCCCAATCTCCTTTCGAACAAACATTTTTAAACCAAAAGAACGTAAACATTTCAAAGGGTTCCTATAGAGTAATATAGACGTTTTGGTTGCTAACATATTCCCTTAGCATAACCAACCCCCTTACCCATTATGTGTTTGTTCTTGTTTTATATTTTGTTTAGATTTTGTTAGTTTTATTTATTTATTTTTTTTGTATAAAATAAAAATGTGGTGACGACTTTTGCATTTTGAATTAAGTTAGTCAATAACTTATGTTCATAAATTTTTCCGCAACATATATGTGTTAACTCTTGAAACATGTTTTATTGTTATTATTATTATTAACAATTAAAAAGAAGTGTTACATATCATAAAGTAGAAGTATGATTTTGGTGAAATATGACATCTTAAATATCTATATTTTATATTTACTCTAATGGGAATTATTTAGGGTGTTAGATAACCCATAATCCGAATTGTATACAAGATATTATATTGTAGTTACGTTTTTAGACTTAGTCTACGAGAAGACTAACTTCTCCACTAATCTCAACTAAATCCTCTACCAATTCTTTAAACTTCCCGCTAACTCCTAATGAACATCTCTTTAAATAGAGAGGTGAATAATAAGGAGAATTAAATTTAAATAGACTTCATTCCTTAATCTCAGCATACCAACAAACGACATGCAGGTACCATCATAAATCTCAGCTAAAACAAGTAAGAAATTAACTTTCATTCTTATTCTTTTACTTTCAATGTGTGTGCATTCTATCAAATATTTTATAAAAAATAATATATTAAAAACATATTTTAGTAGATGATAAAATAACATATGTGAAAATATTTTGATTAAGATGTTCCTGATCTATAAAAAATCTTAAGTAGAAGATATTAAGAAGAGCGGTCACTATGATTCTTCTTTAACACCAAGCTGCTTCAAGGCTTCGACAAATTCATGCAACTCATTAGGTGAAATATCATCCTTACCCACATCACCAATTGCTTCTTCTTTCATCAACTTAGCTCTTTTCTTTAGTCGACTACTCTCACTCATAACTCCAGATATCACTCGACCCAACTCATCGGGGTCGGGTACCGAATCTGCCCCCTCACAAACTCTCACTGCAACTCCCATATCCTCTACCAACATCTTTGCATTCACAAACTGATCAGCCTCCATCGGCCACCCAAGAATCCCAACCCCCGCCACCACTGCTTCCAACACCGAGTTCCACCCACAATGACTTAAGAATCCACCCACCACCCGATGACCCAATATAGCCTTCTGCGGAGCCCAACCCCTTACCACAATCCCCCGACCCGAAACCTGTTCCTCAAACCCTTCTGGCACCAACCCATAACCTTTTTCTATTTGCTCCACCGTCGACGGTTCCTTTACAACCCAAACGAATTGGGTCCCGGATTTCTCCAACCCAAATGCCAGCGCCTCCATTTGTTCTCTTCTCAATAGCTTCTGACTCCCAAAACAAACGTAAACCACTGAACCTTCCTCCTCCAACCTATCAAGCCAGCTTAACACATCAGATCCACCGTCTAGATCCACATCAACCCGGATAGTACCCAATGGATCAACAATATAAACTCTATTGTTACCGAACTGTGCCTGCATATAATCCAAATAACGACCATCCAAAGCTTTACATGTGCTTAGAACGAATCCCCAGCTTGCAGCGTTGGAAATAAAACTCTCCCTTACAAACTCAGATTCGGGATCCGATTCTCTGTAACGGAGGACTAAGCTAGGAAGGTGTTCATACTTAAACGACGGTTTCCCGGGTAATTCGGGGAATTCAACAACCTCCTTCGACTGTAACAGCAGCGGGTTACTCCAACAGCAGTTGATGACAGCTACCAAAAACGTACTACTAGAGTAAAATACGATTCTTGGAATACCGAGTCTTGTGGCGAGTTGTTGAGTCCAACCAAGAAAGAAATCGGAGATGAGAGCAACAGGGGAATTAGAATGGGTGTTAAACCATTGGATAATTGGGCTCTGGAGATTGGAAAGAGCGTTGATGAAAGGGTAGTTTCCGGTGTTGCCTACATCACGGATGTTTTCTGCACCAGAGGGTATTTTTGGGTGTGAAGGAAAGGGGAAAACGAGTGTTTTGATGGTGTTAGGGTGGGATGATAAGAGTGGGTTTAGAATTGGGAGGTTTTTGGGAGTGATGATGATGGTTATGGTGAATGTGTTTTGAAGAGCTAGTTGGTGGGTGAGATCGAGGAGTGGAAGCATGTGGCCTTGTGCTGGATATGGGAATACGAGGATGTGAGTCTTCGTGTTCGACATGCTTCTGTTTACTGTAATTGCTTCAATCTGTGTATGAAAGGGACGGAAGAGGATTTTATACTTTTAAAGCTAACCAACCACGATTAGTATTCAGTTTTTATTATAAAAAAAAAACAATTGATTAGTGTTAACCATTCTTTTCCTTAAATAACGTAAAAGACATTCAAATAATGTGGTACTATCTTACTACACGTGTATTGTTAGAAACCCGTGCCTACGGACCAAATACCTTTTTGGGTGAGATATGGTTTTGAACACATTTCTTTGCACACTTTCATAAATATTAAAAGTTTAAAATATAAAAAATTTAAAAATAAAATAAAAGTTAAACAACAATATTAAAAATAATATGATTTAAATAAATTATTAATACTTATATTAGATAAATTAATTATTTAAATTTTTTTAACAAATAAAACGATTATATTATAGGAGAAAATCAATTTTTAAATATCTATTCAATCTTTTTAATAAGTTTCTCTTAATCTTTTTCACATATTTAAATTTTTTCTTTCTATTATTCAATATTTGAATCATGTCATATCTCAAATTTTGACCCCTGAATTCATCTGATGCAAATTTTATCTGACAAAGTCAACCCTTTGACTTTTAGGGTTTTTTTGACCCAAATTGAAGCATTCAAGCCAAATTGCATAAAGACATGTTTAATCAATGAGTTTGATCATGAAAAATAGTTGAGATACTTGAAATTTTCCAAGTATATGGAAAAAATCCTAGTTTTGGTGATAACTTTGAAAGATCATAACTTTCAACCCATACATCCATTTTTTTGAGTTTGAAAGATCAATTTGTAGATCCCATCATGTACTATAAAAGTGTCATACTGACCTACGAGCAAAAGAGGCTTGGATTTTGAGATATGAAGGCTCAAAGTGTGAAAGAATTTCAAAACACCTAGAATTTTTTAAGATAAGCTTTATTCCTTCAATTTTCAGTCATCTTCAAGGCCAAATTTCTTCATGATCCCTTTTAATTCAAGGATTTCATTAAACATGAAAGTTATAGGCATGTTCAGGTATTTCTAAAAAGTACAAGAACTTCTTCGTAGCATGTGTGAGCTAGGAGTTTCGAAGAGAAAACGTTGAGGTCCAAAAACTTGAAATACAAGGTTCCAACTTGGCATGACATGATGCAAAACCAATCTTTTTCCGCAAACCTTGGTGTTTTAGGTTGTCTAATTGCAAGATACTCCTTAATCAGAGTGTTACATGAAAATTCAAGTGATTACACAAGGTTCTAAGGCATGAACCAAGTGATTATTCCATTTATGGCATAAAGTGACCACTTCCATTTTTGAAAAGCATGACCTTTCACCATTTCAGCATATAGCCACTCCCAAGCCTCCCAAGTACAAGTTCATCTGCAGAAGCATGCCCAAGACCAACCACCTTGTACTTGATGCCTTGAACTACACAAAAACCATCATCACATTTGGTTTGAAAATGCAAATGGATAGTTGGTAAGAAGTTGGATTATGACCACACCTCAAACCTCCCACTTTCCCTATAAATACCAAGTCAATCTTCATTGTAAATCATTAGAAAATACCCTAACCAAATCCTCCAAAACTCCTTGTATACTCAGAGTTACTTGTTCTTGCAAAAACCATCCAAATTTGCAACAACACCTCAAACACTCATTTTGCTCGTGCATTCTCAAAACAAACTTCACAAATCACTTATACACACTCATTAGAACTCACTCAAACCATTGAAACAGTTCTGTAACACTCCAAACACCTCCTACCATTTCAATCTCCATTATAGCAAAAAAAACATCGTGTTCTGTTCCTCAAGCTTTTTCAGACCATCCAGCCATTCCAACAAGCTTTAAAAGGTTTAAGGAAGCTTTAAAGAGTGTTTTCTTGTAGCTATAAACATTGAGCCTTGGACTTTCTCCAAGAGGTAAGATTTCTGACTCTTGAAACCCTCATGTTCATGTATTGTTTTGATGCCATTTGAATAGAAAAATGTAGTGTGTGATGTTCTTTGTTGGTTTGAACCATTGCTGGCTTTATCTTGTTTGAATATCTCATGTTGTAACATGCTGAAGATTTTTGATGTTGCACTATTGTTGAGTGTTGTGTGTTTTATACATTGAGTTTTAGGTCAAACAAATATTGTATTCGTGTTTATTGTAAAAAATTCTTCAACTTTGGTTTTAATTTCACTTAAAATGTGTTGCAGTGGGAATCAGATGTCAAGCTATTGAATGAACTTGAATCGCAAATCTTTGAATTCACAATCGGTCTTTGATTTATCCGAAGGAAAGGTTAAAGAAAGAAAAACCTAAATTGCACTGTAAAAATAATGCGGGGAGATCTAAGGTTCGGGGTTGGTTATACCTAGGGAAAGTGTTAGCATCCTAAGCATATGTAATACTCTACAAGAACCTCTTGTTAGTATGTGTTATTTGGTATCTATCTGTTATAGGTATGCTAAAGGGTTGAAGGTAAAGAGAGAGACCTAAGGGGTTAGTCTTAAGTATACTCGACAAGAAATCACATCTTGTGCCTACGTATCCTGACGGGAATGGAATCAGAGTATTCGTAGTTCCCCTCAATGAGGGTGAGGAACTTCTTGACTTTGGTCAAGGTTCCAAGGCGAAGTAAGTGTTCATAGTGAGACACTTGCATGGAGTGCGACGACTCCGAATCTACGTTGAAGTTAAGTTAAAAGGTAAGTAAGTAAGTATCCACGGCGGGAACTTACGTGGAGTGAGGAGACTCTGATCCTAAGGCTAGAATAAAGATAAAAGTAGGTCCATAGCAGGACAAAAGCGTGGAATACAACGATTCCTGATCCTAAGGCTAGGATGAGAGGACAGGACTTAAAATTGTCTAAAATTGACATGACAATCAACGAGGGGATACTCTTTCCTTTGGGGAAAACATGTGTAATAATGAGCTAGTGAATATCGGGGAGTAAGAAACAATTCAAATGTAGTCATCCTAGATAAATGTTACAAACTACTTTGCCGATCAATCAATAATAAAGTTTCGAGATTCAATGAAGGCACAAGAGGTTACGTGACTTTAGGATTCACAACGGTCAGAATAAAAAAAATTAATTAGAACTAAATTAAATAATTCTATTTAGCAATTAGATTAAAAGACAATTAGCTGAGTTAATTAAGTGCTAAAATAAGTTATTAAATAAAGTGTAAAGATTTTCTTTTTTTAAACAATAAATAGAGATTAATTAAAGTAAAAAAAACTTTAAAATGTTGGTGGGCCTTAGGCCCAACAAACCTAACACAAACAAAATGAAAAAAAAAGTATAATAAAAAAACGTAAAAACAAAATGGGCCGGTGGAGGGTTAAGCCCACTCGGAGCCTAGATCAGCAACAAAACCCAAAATAAAGAAAAACTAGACAATGAAAAACCGAAACATTTCCTCTTACACCCAGAGTCTCTCTCTCTCGTTATCTGCATATCGTTTTCCTTCCTAAAAGGTACCCGCCGAAGAATAGAACGCCGCGACGCCATGGCCTTCGGTCGGTGGAGCACTATAGAATGGATCTTCCTGTTTCTCCTTCTCAAATGGTTCGATCAATTTCGACAACAAATTTGATCTCACGCAAATTTCAAAATGGGATTTATATTCGGATCGCGCAATCGGGTGCGATTCTCTGAATGACCGCTCTAAGTCATGACACAATATCAAGTAAGTATAAAGATCACATACCTCCGGGCGATTTCGACACGGCAGTTACGATGACTTCAGTGATTCCTCAGGTAAGTTCTTCTAGTCCCTCTTCTTCTTATTGATACGGAGTGTATATGTGGCTTGAGTATCTGTGTTGGGTCCTCCTTGTTCTGTCCTTTTTTCATGAGCTGATTGTGTTTGCTTTATAGGCTCAAAATTTTAGATTTTGAACTTAATAAAATGACCTTCCTTTTTGGAAAGGATTTGCTGGTTGTAAATAACTTCCCGGTTTGGTGTATTTATGATTGAAATATGTTTGTGAAGTTTCCTTTTCAATTTGCTATTTGGATGGTGGTTTTAGGAACTGATTATTTGTTGCCAAAATCAAGAGGATTATGGTGTAATTATTTGTTGACATGAACTTTGATAATCCAAAAGGGCTCTATTTAGCAATCTTGAATGGTTTTGTTGAATTTCAATTTTATGGTGATATTTGAATTCTTTGGATTTATGCTTGAAGAAAGAGAAATGAACAAGTATGGAACCTTGAATGTAACTAAAACAATTGGTTGTCTTTTGAATGTGCCTCCTTGCATTTTCTTACATTTCCTGAATTTGGAAGTAATGAACCTTGAATTGGGAGGCTTTGTGAATCTAAGTTTGAATTCATAAAGAGTGGTACCAACTTGAAATTTTAGGACGTGTGCCTTAAAATAAACTTAGATAAATCTTGAATTTGAACTTTTAGTTTATGAAAATAATGAACCAATTTTTAGACTTTTGCGAAGAGCATGATTTTTGTGTCTAAACTTGTGATGAATCTTGGTATAAAATCAACTTGAACTTGATGCACTTAATCGCATGAGCATATTATCAAACCACATATTTTGAATTTGTAACCTTATATTTTACATTTCAACTTTGTGAAAATCACGAATCTTGAAACCAACTAATACACTTTGGATCTTGGTATTGAATTTGATGCACCTTTATTCTTCTTTGATTACAGCACATAAAACATTAGCAGACACAATCTTCTTGAATCGTGATTGAATTTGTGACTTGAATACTTGAATGGTGGTCGAATATGGATGATAACATTGTAATTTGGATTCCACTTTGAATAAACCAATCTGTCCCATGAAACCAAAACTTAAATCAAATTCTCAGACAAAATAAGTGTTTAAGAACTTAACCCGCTTTTAAAAACTCCTGAGTCACCGAATCCATCCTTTCCATACTACGTTTGCCTTATAAATATTTAATCTCTAGTTTAGCAAGTAATCACATTCCATCCTTATTATGATCAACAACAAAAACTTCTTGTTGAA